TTGAGTGCAACAAAAGATGTTTAGAGTTCGTCGAAACATGTTTAGAGCACGTCAAAACATATTCAGAGCGCATCCAAACATGTTTAAAATGCATCGAAACATATTAAGAGTGCATACAAACATGTTTAGAGTGCACTAAAACAATTTTAGAGTGCGTAGAAACATATTTAGAGTGCGTCGAAACATGTTTAGAGTTCGTCTAAACATGTTTTGAGGGTACCAAAACACGTTTAGAATGCATCCAAACATGTTTAGAGTGTTGAACCAAAGAACTCAAGACTTGAAGAACAATCTCGGCCAATACATGGAGAACAGGCTGAAATGGTGTTGCAAGCCCATATGCACAAAGGTGGGTTTGAATGTGGGCCTAAGGATGAATGGCACAGCCCATTAAGTGATCTTGGGCTGATGGTCGACATCTAAGGGAATGATATAGCTGTTGGAGTGATTTAGGCAGATTAGAAATCACAAACATATCCTATTTCCTTATCTATTCCAACGGCTAGCTCTTACCATTTGTGTAGACTTAATTTAGGTTATTTCCTTTTTAATTATCACATGTATGTTGCTATTTAAAGATGTAACCTTCTGCAGAATAAATCAATGAATTAAGGAGATATAATCTCCATTGTTATTTCTCAATACCATTCTCTCGAAATTCTGCTCTCACTCCATCTGATTTCTATTCACTCTCTTTACTCAAATTCTGTTCGTTCAATCTGTTCTTCCTACCTACACTCAAATTCTTTTATAGAGTGCATCCAAACAGACTTAGAGTGCATCAAAAGATGTTTAGAGTTAGTCGAAACATATTTAGAGTGCGTCTAAACATGTTTGGAGTGCACCAAAACACGTTTAGAGTATTAGAATAAACGAAGGCTGGACTATGGACACTACAGGCGACAGTTCTACAAATACTATAGATGATCAAGATCAACCCTTTCTTGCTGGAGAAGTATCATAAAGCTGTTGTAATAAATTCTGTAATTCAACCAACCTCCTATCACCTACCAACCACCTATTTAATGCTCCTCTCCATGCAGAATTGTAACAGCTAGTTTGTAACAGCTCTCTTTCTTCTTCCCTATTTAAATCTGTATCCTCTTCTAAAATGTATAAGAGAAAAAACCTTCAGTTTCTTATCATTCTCTCTATCTTTTGTTCATGGTATCAGAGCGTATGATTCATACCTCGATTATTTTTCCGCTGTAACTCTTGTTCTTGTCTCTCTTTTCGGTATCTCTCTTGAATAAATGGAGGGATCATACCAGAGAATTATTCCTGTTATCTTCAAAGGAGATAACTATGTTAGTTGGTCTAGAACGGCCAAGATGGCTCTTGGGAGCCGCAACCTATGGAGCCACGTCTCCACAGAGAAACCTGCAGATGGATTGGCATCAGATGAATCCAACAAATGGCTGCAAGAAGATATGCAAGTGGTATCCATTCTTCAAAGTTCTTTTGATTCGTCAATTGTTAACAGTTTCAGCCACATTGAATCTGCTAAGGAGTTATGGGATACTTTAAAAAAGGCATATGGAAACATCTCTAACATCAGTAGAGTTTATGAGATTCAGAGGAAGCTCGAAGCCCTCAAGCAAGATGGAAGGCCATTCAATGAATTGTTTGGAGAATTTAGTTCTCTTTGGGCAGAACTAAACGACATTAGGCCTCCAGAAACTTCAACTACTGCTCGTGAAAGGCATAAGCAAGACATGGTGTTCTCTCTTTTCTCATGTCTTGATGGTGGATACGCTGATCTGATTCAATCTGTACTTCGAGAGTCCACTATTCCATCTCTTGATGATGTCTCAGCTAGGATTCGAAAGGAAGAAAGCACAAAACAATTCTTCCAAGGGAATGGAGAAGTGGCTCACTATCGTAAGGTGAATGAGCAAAGCAACAAAATAATTGAGTGTGGTCACTGCAAACGCAAGGGGCACTCCAAAGAGAAGTGCTGGGTGTTGCATCCACACCTCAAACCCTCCCGTTTCAAGACTGAAAAAGACAGCACTCCAAAGAAAGCACAAGACAATCGACAATGGAATAATGGAAATGCTATGAAGGCTAATGAAGAACTGCAGTTCACAAAGGCTGAGGTTGAGGCTTTAATTGCTGAACAAATTCAAAAACTTATGGTTGCCAAAGAATCCGGTAATGCCTCTTTAACTTCTCTATCACAAAATATTATTATTGATTCTGGTGCATCCAATCACATGATTCATGATCCTGCATTACTAAAAAACATTCGAATTGCTTATGGTTCCATTTCTGTTGCTAACGGTCATTCAGTTCCTATTAAAGGAATAGGAGATTTCACTTTATGTAACAACAAAACTAATGCACTTTATGTACCAGAATTCACAACAAACTTACTTTCTGTCAACAAAATTGCTAAAGACCTTCATTGCAATGTTATTTTTCGTCCTAATAGCTTTTGTTTTCAGGATATTAAGTCTGGAGATGTACTGGGAGAAGGGAAGGCTGCCAATGGTCTCTACTATCTTGAAAATGCTAATCAAGCTTTAGAAGTTGCTTTCAATTCAATTTGGCATGATAGACTTGGACATCCTCATCACAATGCTTTGAAATTACTTTTTCCAAACATTAAATCAACAAAAGGACATTGTGAGGCATGCATCCTAGGAAAACATTGTCGAAGTGTATTTCCTCTTTCAAAAACAGTTTATGAAAGTTGTTTTGATTTAATTCACTCGGATGTTTGGACATCCCCTTCCATTTCTCAAGACAACTTCAAGTATTTTGTCACTTTTATAGATGCAAAATCTAAGTATACATGGCTGTATTTGCTCTCTTCAAAAAAGGAAGTTTTTGACATATTCAAAAGATTTCATCGCTACTTAATTACTCAATATGATGCAAAGGTTAAGTGTCTTCGAACAGATAACGGAGGGGAATATCTTGGGAAACCATTCGATGACTACTTACAACAACATGGAATCGTACATCAAACATCATATTGAGTACCTCATATGGAGATTGATCTTTAAGGCATTGAGTTGGTGTTCGATTGATCAAGTGACATGCTGTTTTGACTGCGTAACTCCAAAATCTTCGAAGTACACTCCTATGGAACATTATTGTTCGAGCAACTTCCAGGAGATGACGATTTTTCCGTTCTGCTACACCATTCTGCTCAGGGGTGTAGGCACATGATGTTTGATGTACGATTCCATGTTGTTGTAAGTAGTCATCGAATGGTTTCCCAAGATATTCCCCTCCGTTATCTGTTCGAAGACACTTAACCTTTGCATCATATTGAGTAATTAAGTAGCGATGAAATCTTTTGAATATGTCAAAAACTTCCTTTTTTGAAGAGAGCAAATACAGCCATGTATACTTAGATTTTGCATCTATAAAAGTGACAAAATACTTGAAGTTGTCTTGAGAAATGGAAGGGGATGTCCAAACATCCGAGTGAATTAAATCAAAACAACTTTCATAAACTGTTTTTGAAAGAGGAAATACACTTCGACAATGTTTTCCTAGGATGCATGCCTCACAATGTCCTTTTGTTGATTTAATGTTTGGAAAAAGTAATTTCAAAGCATTGTGATGAGGATGTCCAAGTCTATCATGCCAAATTGAATTGAAAGCAACTTCTAAAGCTTGATTAGCATTTTCAAGATAGTAGAGACCATTGGCAGCCTTCCCTTCTCCCAGTACATCTCCAGACTTAATATCCTGAAAACAAAAGCTATTAGGACGAAAAATAACATTGCAATGAAGGTCTTTAGCAATTTTGTTGACAGAAAGTAAGTTTGTTGTGAATTCTGGTACATAAAGTGCATTAGTTTTGTTGTTACATAAAGTGAAATCTCCTATTCCTTTAATAGGAACTGAATGACCGTTAGCAACAGAAATGGAACCATAAGCAATTCGAATGTTTTTTAGTAATGCAGGATCATGAATCATGTGATTGGATGCACCAGAATCAATAATAATATTTTGTGATAGAGAAGTTAAAGAGGCATTACCGGATTCTTTGGCAACCATAAGTTTTTGAATTTGTTCAGCAATTAAAGCCTCAACCTCAGCCTTTGTGAACTGCAGTTCTTCATTAGCCTTCATAGCATTTCCATTATTCCATTGTCGATTGTCTTGTGCTTTCTTTGGAGTGCTGTCTTTTTCAGTCTTGAAACGGGAGGGTTTGAGGTGTGGATGCAACACCCAGCACTTCTCTTTGGAGTGCCCCTTGCGTTTGCAGTGACCACACTCAATTATTTTGTTGCTTTGCTCATTCACCTTACGATAGTGAGCCACTTCTCCATTCCCTTGGAAGAATTGTTTTGTGCTTTCTTCCTTTCGAATCCTAGCTGAGACATCATCAAGAGATGGAATAGTGGACTCTCGAAGTACAGATTGAATCAGATCAGCGTATCCACCATCAAGACATGAGAAAAGAGAGAACACCATGTCTTGCTTATGCCTTTCACGAGCAGTAGTTGAAGTTTCTGGAGGCCTAATGTCGTTTAGTTCTGCCCAAAGAGAACTAAATTCTCCAAACAATTCATTGAATGGCCTTCCATCTTGCTTGAGGGCTTCGAGCTTCCTCTGAATCTCATAAACTCTACTGATGTTAGAGATGTTTCCATATGCCTTTTTTAAAGTATCCCATAACTCCTTAGCAGATTCAATGTGGCTGAAACTGTTAACAATTGACGAATCAAAAGAACTTTGAAGAATGGATACCACTTGCATATCTTCTTGCAGCCATTTGTTGGATTCATCTGATGCCAATCCATCTGCAGGTTTCTCTGTGGAGACGTGGCTCCATAGGTTGCGGCTCCCAAGAGCCATCTTGGCCGTTCTAGACCAACTAACATAGTTATCTCCTTTGAAGATAACAGGAATAATTCTCTGGTATGATCCCTCCATTTATTCAAGAGAGATACCGAAAAGAGAGACAAGAACAAGAGTTACAGCGGAAAAATAATCGAGGTATGAATCATACGCTCTGATACCATGAACAAAAGATAGAGAGAATGATAAGAAACTGAAGGTTTTTTCTCTTATACATTTTAGAAGAGGATACAGATTTAAATAGGGAAGAAGAAAGAGAGCCTGGACTATGGACACTACAGTCGACAGTTCTACAAATACTATAGATGATCAAGATCAACCCTTTCTTGCTGGAGAAGTATCATAAAGGTGTTGTAACTGTAGTGTCCATAGTCCAGCCTTCGTTTATTCTAATATAGAGTGCAACAAAAGATGTCTAGAGTGCAAACAAACATGTTTAGAGTGGGTCGAAATATACTTAGACAGTATCGAAACATGTTTAGAGTTCGTTAAGCACGTTTAGAAACATGTTTAGAGTTCGTATAAGCACGTTTAGAGTGAGTCTAAACATGTTTAGAGCGGATCCAAACACGCTTAGAGTGCATCCAAACATGTTTAGAGTGCATCCAAACATGTTTAGAGTGCGTCGAAACATGTTTAGATGCGTCGAAACATGTTTAGAGTTCGTATAAGCACGTTTAGAGTGCGTCCAAACACGTTTAGAGTGCATCCAAACACTTTTAGAATGCATCCAAAAATGTTTGGAGTGCGTCAAAACATACTTAGAGTGCATCCAAACATGTTTAGAGTGCATCCAAACACATTTAGAGTGCGTCCAAACATGTTTAGAGTGCGTCGAAACATGTTTAGAGTGCGTCGAATCATGTTTAGAGTGGAAACGAAACATATTTAGAGTGCGTCCAAACATGTTTAGAGTGCTTCGAAACATGTTTAGAGTGCGTCCAAACACGTTTAGAATGCGTCCAAACATGTTTAGAGTGCTTCGAAACATGTTTAGAGTGCGTCAAAACATGTTTAGAGTGAAACAAAAGATGTTTAGAGTGCATCCAAACATGTTGAGAGTGCGTCCAAACTTGTTTAGAATGCGTCGAAACATGTTTAGAGTGCGTCCAAACACGTTTAGAGTGCCTCCAAACATCTTTAGAGTG